TTCTAAGCTAAGATACAAGCTGTATTTATAAGTATTTGATAATTATAAAATGATCATTTGGAATGATCATTCAGAGCGTTTGAAATGATCATTTGCAATGATCATTTGGAGCGCTTGAGATGATTGGTTGGAATGATCATTTGGAATGATCATTCAAAGTGATCATGTGAAGTGATCATATGAGATGATCATGTAAAGTGATCATGTGAGATAATCATTTGTGATTATGAAAATATCTAATCACAACAACATTATTATCTTTTATTTATTTTAGTTTTATTATTTTTAGACTGTATCAATAAGTTCTATTTGATTATTTTTTAGTTATTTTAGTTTATATTTTGTAATTGGCAGTCTTAATAAGTTCAATTGTTATTTTATTTTATTTTATTAGACATTATTAATAAATTTAGATATTATTAATAAATTCTGTTATTTGCTTTAATTTCTTTTATATTTTTATTTTAATTTTTCATTTATTTTTATTCTTTATTGTTGACAGTTAGTTAGTTTGTGCAAACTATCACAAGAAATCTTTAGAATCTTTAGTGAACTCTATTAATTGTAAATTATTCAGTCTTTGTTTTTTCATTATTATATTATTTTATTAATTTATTTTTCAACAATTTTTGAGTTAACAAAAATAATATTTAATTTCTTTATATTAGTTTTGTTATAATTAGATTCTTAATGCTTTTCATTTATATTTCAAATGAAATGTGAGTTTTTGAATAAAAGTGAATTTATTCAAAGAATATTAATAAATTCGATTCGAGTTGGATTGGATCATAAAATAATTTTTCATTATTAACTTTTATTTTTATTAAGATACTTGTATTTTGTATCTTAAGTAGTTATTTAAAATGCAATTGTGTATATATTTACAAATTTTCATTTAATTTGAATTAATATTGAACGAGAAATAACGATTTTTATATTTGGATCAGGTTTGATTCGACCCGAAGTGTGCGGGTCGGGTCACGGATCGGACCCGGCCCGATTGGAGCAATACTAGTATTTTTATTGGCTATTCAATTTTGGTCACATGATTAAAATCCGGATCGGATTATATATCACGTGTAACTACCTGATAAATAATTTGATATATATGCAATCAATCTTAATTTTGAAGGATGCATTCGGAATGTCATCATCATTCACTTCTTTCCTTCAAATCGTTGAGAATTGTGACAACTTTCCATATCCCAATAGTTCCAATTTTCCTACAGAACTCTTTAATGCTGTTCCATTAACTTTAAATAAAACCAAAATTGGCATTCTATTACCTTCTACGGTTGATACATTAAGAGAGTATAACAGTCGTCTCAACCCGGCTCCTTTAGAAATTAAAGAAAAATATGTCACTTTTTCAGCGCATATAACCAATTTCCAAGAACGTACAGAAGCAGTGAAACAATTATTTGATACTTGGAGGTCTGAGAAAAAATTTGCTGCTTTGGAAGGTAAATAGCTCTTGAATATTCCAGGTTAAAATTCCAGTCACGTCTTATCTAATGACTTTCAATACATTATTAATAGAAATGTTATGTCACTAACTTCTAATTCTAATTAACGAAAGGTTGGCGAGATGAGCTATATCCAGTTTATGGAGACATCAATTATCCTTCTAATGTGGCTTTTGTCATGGAACGCGCAGCCACCCCCATTTTCGGTATTCCAACTTTTGGAGTCCATTTGAATGGATACATCAAAACTCCAGAAGGAAAGATCAAAATGTGGATTGCTAAGCGTGCATCGACTAAACCCACATGGCCTGGAAGATTGGATAATACGATTGCTGGTGGTATAACTTACCAACTTTCTATCAATGAAACTATTGCAAAAGAGGCAATGGAAGAAGCATCTATACCCGCCAATATCGCGAGCACAGCAGTACCAACAGGAGCAATTACGTATTTTACTGTTACAAAACTTGGGCTTCAACCAGAAACTCAGTTAGTATCTGCATGATTATAGAAAGTTACAAGTTCGCTGTTGTAATTAAAATTCTCTATCATAAATTAGATATATATATGATTTGGAGTTTCCCGTAGATATACAGCCAAAACCTTTAGATGACGAGGTTGAATGCTTTTATTTGTTGGATGTTGATGAGGTAATTTATTTATTTTTTTGAATACATTTTTGTTGTATCTTATACTTTTTTTAAAAACAGGTCAAAAAAAATCTATTAGAAGGAAAATTCAAACCTAACTGTGCATTAGGTTAGTATTGAATAATTTTTGCAAAAAACGTGAGCGCCATAAATATACTGATTTTCTTTGTATTTAGCCGTTATTGATTTTTTTATTCGGCATTCTGTAATAACACCCGACAAAGAACCTGATTACATTGAAATTTTGACTAGAATACATAGAAAACTTGAATTTCCAGGCCCAAAAACGATTTAGTAACTGGTCATCTTGATCAGCATAAAATTCGACAAATTGAATTGTAAAGGTGCTGATTGTATATTGAATTTATTTCTAATATTCAAGAATCATTTAACACATACCCGAATTCCTTTTTTATCTTGATAAAAGTTTTCACTGGATTTTTCTTGCTTTGCTTTCAGTCTCGTAAATCAACATTCGCCACAATTTCATCACAAATAATTCTGATTCTTCATCCAATGTCTAGATTAGATGTAAAAATTGGTAAATACACATTACACATTCATGATCTATGCACTAAATTTCAATAAATATTTTTGTACCTGTTCCATTTCTTTAGTAAGTTCTACAGCAGATTTTTTATTTCGTAAATGATCCATTACAAAGTAAACAAGTTCATCTTCTTGCACGCCGAGATAAACGACAATTTTTTTGCTGATAAACGGCTGCAATTTTTGATTGAGAATTTGCTGTATGCGAAATCCCGGTTCCCAAAAAAGAAAGAATTTCACGATATATTATAAATGCTAAAATAATGAATTAGACGACTGTTGAATCACAGATTATCACTTACCTCATCTAATTCATCCCATTTGACATTCCAACTCCAAAGTCCTTCTTTATCTGTCGGAATAGTCGCCACTAAATCTGTAATTTTTCTCTTCCTATCTTCTGTTTTCTTTTCATCATCATCGTCATCGCTGTACTCCAATGGAACCAAGACACGCTTTTTCTTTTTGGCATCTGTTTCCTCGTCATCAGAATCATCCTCCTCCTCGGCAGGAGCGATTAATGTAGTTCGTCGCTTATTTGAAATATTAAGAGTCAGTTTTTTAGATTTACCATTATTATTAATTTGTGCATCACCATTCGATGAAGTATGCGTTGCTGAAATAGCAGCTTTTTTGCCATTCGATTCTGATGCTTCTGCTTCTGTTCGTTGTTTTTTCTCCTCTTCTAACATTCGTTCCCATTCTTGTCGGCGTTTTTCAGCCTCAATTTCTTGTTCCTCGTGAATCCTGTCTTGTTCGTCCTGGGCCAATTCTCGTGCTCTAAATTGTTGACGATGATGCCACCAACGAGTTCTATTTTCATTGAATAAAATTGTCCGTTAGCCATATACCATGAAATTTTCTTTTATAAAAATCTCAATTTTTAAATAAAAAATAATGAAATCGAACCGATCTCTATAATATTCCTCAACACCTCGCTCGGCTTCAAGGTCATCATCCCATTCAGCAAATTTCCTTGCCGCCAATTCACGATCCCTTATTTCTTTTTCTCTCTGATCTATTTCTCTTTGATCTTCACGTTCATAACCGCGAGCTACAGTTGCTTCTCGAGCCTCCCAGCGGCGTTCTCGCTAAATAAGGGAAATTTATATACCTAAATAAATGTCAAATGAATATATAATGCAGAACACAACTTGAAATACCTCTTTAAAAGCCATCTCCAATTCTTTTTCTCTTTTTGCTCGTCTTCTCCGCTCTTCTTCTTCGTCATCATAAGGCATAGATTCACGTCTTTCATCCCTTGAGGGAGCAAAGTTAGCAGATGGATAATGTCCAAAAGATCTTTCTCTTTCTCTTGTTTCACTAGCACGAGAACGCTCCTGCCTAGCTTGTTCAGCTCTTGCTCTACGAGTGGCCCGCTCTTCATCCTCTCTTTGACGTTCCCGTTCTCGCTGAGCAGCACGTTCTCTGAAAAACGCTATTTCTCTATATATTAAGTCTTTTTGTTCAGGTGGTAGATCGGCTGGTAAGTCAGTTTCTTCATCCCGCTCAACATTTTCAGGCCGAGGGGATGATGGGGCAATTGATTTATTATCAGGATGAGAAGATTCTGATGGTGAGGTGATTTGTTCTGGCGGTGGCTTTGTCATTTCTTCAACTACATCTATAACCGCTAAAAGTGCATTTTTATCCAATTCTGTATCATGCTGAAATTGCATCAAGTTAGATATCTTAATTTTCTGACAAAATATATTCACTGAATTTATATAAATACCACTGTTCTGGGTCTTGATGCTTCATATTGATCTAGAAATTTTCGCGTGTTATCATCAACTTTTACCTAAAACAAAAAGAATTATAATAATTCAGTAAATATTGCTAATGAACAAATTAAGCAAATTCACAGAAAAATGACTTACGATCAATTTTTTCCCAACAGCCCCTTCTTCCAAAGCAGGCAAAATAACACCTTTATCCTTTTTATCATCACCTGATCCTTCTCCACCCAACACACGCAATGCACGTAGAACACTATCAGCATCCATATATTCAGCAAAACCGAATCCTTTGGGCTTTGCCTGATCTTTCACCCGCTTCCATGATTTTAAATTGCCGCACGTCTTAATTATTTTCAAGAATGCGGATAAAATAGGGATCAAAAGTGAAGGGTTAGCAGCGTGCGGTGTTAAGCAGACCTGATATTTATAGCCCGTAAATTTTTTTATAGGTAAAAAGCAAGTAAACCAAATGAAAAAAATCATTTTGGATCCTGATCTATCAATCTGCATAAATAAGTTTAGCCTCTCCCTATTATTATTACTATAATAATAGGAGATTTACACACGATAGACGCCAGTTTTTGATCTTTTTTGAGTTGCGAATAAAGTAATAGTACCAAACCTCCAATTAATATATTGATGTTCGTCCACCACAGCCCCGATGATAAATCTCAATGCTCAATCAGAATCACCAAAACCAACTTGTTTCTTGTTTTTCCTTCGATTAGGTAAAATATCGTCAACTTGTTGACTAAGACGATATACGTACGTAACCCACCCTGAAATTTGAAAATAACTATTTACTACCTTTAGAATTTTTTCCATCCAATCGTCAGTCACACCAGGCGATATGCCTCCAATGAAAAGTGTCGTTAGTTTTTCCGCTTCTGCCTGGCCTAACATTTGTTGTGCACCACCTAATTGCATGGCGCCAAAAGGGGGTCTCTGTGCAGGATTCAGGTAGTTAGGACGTTGTGGTGGTACTCCTGGCATATATGCAGGCCGAGGAGGTTGTCCATATCCTTGAACATTCGGTGGCCCTCCAGCAGGAGGCGCATACTGCTGTGGTCGATAAGTAGCTGAAATTTTTTCATCCAAATTTTAGTGAGTTTTAAAATGAATATGATCAGAAGTCAGTAAACTAAAGAGGTATGCTTTTACCATAAGATGGTGTTGGTCGATATGGATCCATGCTGTGGCAAGTTTATTTTGATTGAAAAGCAGCCGATAATGGCATAACGATAATGTAACAATGTAATTCACATTCACGTGACAAACAAACAGACCTAAATTGGATCGTTCAATTTTCGTTAAACTTTAATTAATCATGTCAAAATCTCTCGCTGATTGTCTTTTTTGCAAAATTATAAAACGTGAAATTCCCTCTCATAAGCTTATTGAGACGGAGCATAGGCAAGCTTTATCTTCATTCTACGAATATATTTGTTTAAATAACGTATTGAATTGAAGTGAATTTGTTTCGCCTGAAGTTATGCCTTTCTCGATGTTTACCCCTTGAGTAAAGGGCACTCGGTAAGTCTTAATTTTATCAACTATTCGTAATTGTTTGACATTATTCATGAATTTTTTTAAACTTTTTTTTAGCTTGTAATCCCGAAATGTATGTCATTCCTTCAATGGTCAGATGATAGTACAAATTATATACAATGCGAAAATAAATTTATAATAAAACGCGAAATAAATAAATAGATCACGCCGAATTTTTGCATCAACTTCCTGATGAAAGTCTGGCTGATCTTTTACCGGTCGCGAAAAGAGTTGCACTTGCTGTGACTGCTGCGACTGAAGAAACTCAATACAATATCTTGCAGGTAAGAATAAGGTTCGCTTGATGCTTACGTGTATTCTTTATATTTATATTTATTATTATCTTAGAATAATGGACCGCGCGCACATCAGGTAAAAAAACTTGGATTCATGTATTATTTATTATTATCAATATACATATACATATATGTGTGTGTGTTTTCCTTCTTTCATTTTTATATGCAGGTTATTAAACACGTTCACTTTCATGTGGTAAGTATCTATCATTAATTGGTTTAACTATTTTTAGGGTAATATTAATTTTTAACTAATATATTGTTAGATTCCCAAACCAGAAACGCAGGGGACAGGTTTGATTATTGAATGGCCGTCTTCCCAGGCTTCAGCACAAGAATTAGAAGATATTGTAAAGAAAATTACTGAAAAACTGTAATTACTCGACGTTTATATTAATGTAGTCATTTAAAGAAATTAATCCCATTTTCTGAGAATAAAGTCGATTATATTGATGTAATTATTTAAATAAATTAATCCTATATTCTGAGAATCAACACATTTTGAATGTTGACATGTCGCGCGATTTTTCAAATTGAAATCACGCGATTGATCTCATCAACCAATCATATCTCATTAATAATTAAGAACAGTTCTTATCAAAAATAAAAAAGAATGGACAATAATTATCTCATTGGAAATGCTGGTGCTGAAGCCATTAAAAGAGAACTTTCGGAGCGCGATCCAATATTCGTGATAAATGATTTCCAAGAGCGTCTAAATCTTCACTATAAAAGTTTTGATATAAACGTATATTATTTTCTATTATCCTAATCTATATTTCTTTTAGGTATTAATTTCTCTCCTTTTCATTTAAGACAATATACCCCTTGCTTGAGATATCAGGAAACAGTAGGTTCGAAATTCATAATGGAATCTTGGACGGCTTACAAAGAGAGATAATAAAAAGGATTGATTCTGATAATTGGAGCAAAGAAAAGTAAATTTCCTGTCTTATTTATACAATATTTTTTACAAGAATTATGACACTACTAAAATATTATTAATCTTTTGGTCTCTACAAGGCGGAATAACTTTCTAAAAAAGAATTTACCCCTTCGTCACATTCCGTCAATATATGGACTCATAATTGCTTTGCTTCAGAGATATCCAGAGCTTCAGACGGAATCATTCTATCAAGAAATAGGCCATGATAAAAATTTTATAGATGTAAGCGTTGCTGTTGCTTTCATTATGAAATTTGTGTCCATCAAATAACATTTATTTCTTTGATGACATAAAGCATTCTCCTCTAGATATAAGACGTGGCTTTTACAGAAGATATCCGAATATGATTATTGATCTTATTGCTCATCTTGCATCAAATTACCAAAATGATTCAATCTTGCGTGGTTGGTCGCGAGAAATGAGAGGTGTGAATATCAACGAGTATCTGGATGTCAGGTACTTTTCAACTGATTATCAACAAGAATAGTCGGGTTTGTTTTTTTTCAATACATTTTGAAAGATATATATTTTTAAAGAGTCAATCAAGAGCATGTCCAAGAAGCTGTGAAAATCATCGGCGAAGATCTTACTCTCTTCAAGTCTGTTCAGCCCATCTTTCGTGAATTATTTGTGCAGTTTGGTTGGGCAAGTATATGCTCTTTCCGAACAGACTTCTTTATGGCTATGCAGAATGCAGGACAAATAATAGTATGGAATAAAATTAATATTCACTAGTATATAAAATATTATTCGGTTTTCTTGTATTTTAACTTTATTCTGCTTTAATGATTATAGATATGCAAGACTGACAGTTCATATGAATTAATTTGGTTTGTCACAGAAAGTCTACGTAAAGGATTTACTCCAGAAAGAGTTATTAGTATTAATAATTATATACATAAATTCAAAGGTACTTCTGATTTCGGGTAGGTTAATAAATTTCAGATGTATTAAATACGATGTTTATAAAATATATAATACATTGCTTATTTCATTTGTGTAATGCTTTTATAAATAGGGAGATGGCTATGATATTTCAAGATCCGATTGTGGCCAATGTACTTGCTGCAAGGATAGTGCAGGCTTTGAGAAAAACCGTGCAAGAAAAAAACATGGCCGAAGGAAAGGTACGAATTTCTATTTCATAGTCTCCGTTTCAAACATCATTACTATTTATTTATTTTCTATTCTTTATTAATATTTCCAGCTTGATCGTAGTATTATTTGGTGTTCACATTTACTTAATCTTGGAAGTCATGCTCGGCAAATGTTGTCTACTAAATCATATAACATGCCTGAGATTGATGGCGAAATTATTGATGAATTTTACTTTAAGATTTTATCATTGATGGTGGATGACAAGCTTAGAACACCTGGTGCTGTGGCACAGAGACGACGTCAAAACAGTGTTAGCAGCGTTGACTTGCTTGATCCAACAGACAGATATAATCCACCTTCTACCAGCGAAAGTCGTTTATCTGTCTTTTCTGATAGAGAAATCGAAAAATTAAAAACCAATGATTTGGCGAGAAAGGTAAAATATATTTTCTGTCTGATCTTCTATTATTAAGTACAGATACTTAATAATACAAAAAAACATGCAATTTTACTAGGTATTTGCACAATACTTGATAGACACAGTTCGCCGAATGGAATTCGTGTCAGTTCGTCGAGCCGTATCTTACATGACAAGGACAATCCCACAAAACGATCAAGACATCATGTACTCTGAGGTGTACGAATCTCTTTGGCAATCACTTATCACGAATCTTATAAAGTATCATCGGGTAAAATTAATTGTGAATCCAGTTTGGTCGAAGTTTATGGACGAAGAGTTGATTCCCATTACTTCGTGGAAACAAACTGTGCATGAAATGATGGCGAAACTGTTGGTTGAATTGTATGCAGAAGAAATCATCTCAAATTTGAATGAAAAGAGATGTCCAGAAAAAATCAAAATTGTCAGAGTTTGGGCTGAAAAAACTATTAAGATTGGTGCTAAAGATATGGTAAGCGTTTTTACTAATTTTATTTACGTATATAGTATTAAATAACGTGCATCGACTTAACATCTGTTATGTGGACAACTCAATGGTCTAGGATCCTACTAATCTGATGATGATGTATCTCGAGCTAAGAATTAAATCAAAAAATCCATATGATGGGAGATTTCAAATTAATACCGAAGAATGTCCTACTGTTAGTAAATTCATTGAATAAAATTACTGTATATATATAGTATAATCTCAGTCCAGTCTATTCGAGATCGGATCAAATGGCTTATTATTAAAAATCAAAATCAATATTATTTTGGGTAAAACGTTGATGTTCAATTTTGCAAATTATCCTTTTTGGTAAAGTTATCGACTCCCGAGTCACATCCATTCTTAAAATAGCAGAAACTATTTCAACACATCATCCCATAACAATCCTTTACACATATCATATGTTATAAACGAACGCAAATCTGTTAGGATCAGAAAAACTGCAGTAGTGTCACCAAACACAAGCTCAAAGCTAACTCTGCGGGAAACACGGCTCTGTTCACTCAATTCCACTTCGTGGAAGGAGAAATACATCTAAATAACGACACTTACACTTTTTCGCAATTTATCGTTTCTTTTTTTTTTAGCACCTAACAAGTAACAACGACAAAGATGAGCTCATGGGAAAGCCTGCTAAAGACCGCGGAAGACGACTACAATGACGGAAATTTTAAGGTTTACTTGTCTTCCTTAAGCTCTTTTTTGCTATTTGGAAAATTTTATGCATTAATACTCCATTTCAAACACATTTGCGTTTTTTTCTATGTAAAGGACTCATACTTTAACAATATGAAAGCAGCAAGCGCGCTGATTCAAAAACTTTCCACAGAGGTTACCTTTGCGACTCGAGGTGATTGAAATTTCTTCTTTATAAAAGATGAGATATTTGCTTTGTTGTGCGCGACTAAAGAGAAGTTTTTGCTTTTGTTAGATACCGTAAAGAACAAGCCAAGCAATAATCTTTTGTTTCAACAATTAAATCGGTGCTTGCAACATGCCGAAGATATACTTCAGAACAGAACCATTAACGGTTCTCTCCCTTCTCCGCAACCATCCTATATCTCCGATATTACTCCTTCATTGCCGACTATCAATGCGGCGGCAAGTCATTTGCCACTAGTTCCATTTTCGCCTCTCACGCGACAATCGATCGATTATATGCATAATCTAGCAAGCACATCCAACAAAGTCACTGTGGCAAAACAAAAATCTTCTGAGGGATCGGAAAATCAAGAGCATATTCGTCGTCTCAATAACGAAGTGCGTATTCAACGTTCGAAATTGGACCAAGTTAACGTACAAATTCAGACAATTTCTACGGCGACATTATTATATTGGGAGACTGAAGCGGTCGCGAAACAATTGACTATTATTGAGTGTCAATTATTCGGGAAGGTGGATGATTTTAAAAAAGACTTGACGACGAAGGATCGAAAAAATTCAAATGCACAAGCGTGTTTGGACTTCCATCGATATTTGACAAATAGTTTTACCCATCAATTTATCATCTACGCAGATAGTATTCGAACATCTGCTAATTCACATAAAATTTCACAACAGTCAAAAGATAATCTTATTGCTAATGGGATAAAGATCGCATATATTTTATTGCACGTTTATCGAAATTTCAATAGTTTTGCCGCGATAGTGAAAGCTTTAAATTCACCAGAAGTGCGTAGAATTAGACGTCTATGGGTTAATCTTGCATCTCGCACACACCAAAAATTTAAAGAGCTAGCTAGTTATGTAAATCCATCAAATGATTATAAAGCATACCGAGATATACTTAATCAAAAAATCGAGTTATTTCGGGATACCCCAGTGGCGGATGCTGGTCCAATGATTGCAATACCTTGGATGCAAACCCACTACGAAGAGGTTAAAAATGTCACGCAGGCTTACACCACGGGTAATCATGCAGGAGATTCCTCGGATATTCTTTCGGCTCCGGGAGCACGAAAATTAGAAAAAATATTTTCTCTACTTGAGCAATGTCGATCAAACACGATTTCTTCGGATGATGAAGAATGGGGCACAACACGAAAATCAACAAACAATGCACCTCGTAATAAAGATCCTATTGTTTTAGACGGGAATAAAATAGTACCACCTTTAGATATTTCACGCATGGGACTCGGAGATTTTGGTATACATCATTGGTTGGTTTCGAGGGTTTATCTCACAAAACAACAGTTAGTTGACGAGAGTATAGAGATTGAACCTTTGTTGGACGGAGAACGTTTGTTTGTCGACGATGAAGAGGAGGAGGAGGAGGAAGAGGAGGAAGACGTCGTTAGCCTTGACCGTGATGATATCGTAAGTTCGGATAGTGGTGATAATATGGAAATAGTGAAAACTCCGTTGAATGACCTTAATATAATTAAAAAAGATGAAACTAGAAACTTGATTGAGAGATCAAATGGATTTACTTATGATTTCAAGGAATCATCAAACAATCCATCTTCTATTCCTTCTACTCCATCACAGCAACCTCTTCCTATAGTAAAAAATAGTGAACCGGGTGAATCATCTGCCAAGATCACGAATCCTCCTATAACCAATACCAATAATATAAAAGAAATTGAAAAACCAGTTGAACCAGTAATTACCCTATTTAAACAGTCTAGTACTACTGAAATGACCAATGCACCAAATAAAACAGTGACTCGTCCTGAAACAATCTTCACCTCATCGAATCCTATTTCTATCCCGGTCAATCTCAATCGTCCCAATTCCAATTTAAGTAGCAATGGCACTGCACCCATTCCTATACAACAATCAGGTTCTGCGCCATCTTTAGCGGCTCCTTCACTCAATCCTAATGCAACCCCTTTTATTCCTAATCGATCTCAGAGCTTCTCGGATCCTGCCAGTAATAATTTTGCAGCGTTTGCCGAGTTGAGTAAAAATGCAAAATTGGATCATCCGTCCACTGAAAGTAAAATAGAAGATGACGAAGAGGAATTTAAATACCCTATCAATGATATTAATGGTGGTGGTCAATCTGAAGCTAAAACTGAAGACGACGAGGAGGAAGAAGACAACTTTATTTATCCATATAATATAGGTGAAATGAAAGAAGCTTCAAATAATGATCCTGAAGAAGAAGAGGTATTCAAATACGAACAAAATGATGGCGATGATGAGGAAGAACGAAAAAACAATGACGGAGATGACGAAGAGGATGACGACGGAGATGATGGCGGAGATGACGAAAAATTTGTGTATACAGACTCTTCTGCAATCCAAGAGGACGAGCAAAAGGAGAATAACACAGGGTTCTCATCATCCGTAGGAGTGAATGGAACCTCTAAGACAGCAGCAAAGAAGGAAATTGTCGCTAATGGCTCTAGTGTGAATGGCGTGAATGATATTCTGACCATCAAGGATAGGGATACACGCACCGTTACCGTAAAGATTAACGGATTTACATCCTCTTCAGCTACTGATTGAGTATCCTGAATCGGCTGATTATTAGCTTCCAAGATGATGCTCTGTTACTTTCTTTGTCATCGATAACACGAGTATCATTCTTCTCAAGGGATACCCCTTTTGACTCACGTTTGAAACTGTCCATGATCGACGACTGCTACTACTGATCATTACTTTGAACAACTCTGACGGACATTATTAGAGCCCAATCTGGCAATCTGGGTGCTTGCTTCTGACTTTTCTTTTGATTCACTACTCTACAAAATTATGCAGCTGAAAAAGCTAAAAACCACAAAAAACAAGCAACTATAAATTTATATATCAATTACTTACTCTTTCTATATACATTTTGGTCTTATGGGTATGGGGCGTGTGCGTGTTATATATCTAAACCACTTTATATTAGATTTAAATCAAATTTTTCTTTTCCCTTGTACTTTTTATGTTTATCGAAAAATTTTACTATGTAAAACTATCAACTCACCATCATCATCATCATCTTAAATGTATGCTGGAGAAATCCCTATATAAATCATGCAAACTTTTTTATTTTGTTTTTTCTTATTTATTTATTCTCTTTCTCTTTATTAGAATGGGCACCTGTCATTTGCAATTTGATTGTCTATGTAGTATACAGTCAATGCCATGCCATACATATGTTTTTTGTTTATTATTAAAGTTATACCATCTATTTTTAGAGTCATAAACATCGTTTATTGATGCGTAACACAAATAACTTTAAAAATATTCCTTTTAGAATTACAAATATTGTACAAAAAAGGTTAAAAGGATGCCGATAACAACAATAATTCGGATGTGGTGATAATGTGAAATATATGATTATGACTTACTACACATGACTTGAACTCCAAATAAATTAGTATAAGTAACAAAACTTTGATGACAATGTTAATGATGATGATGAATGATATTAATCATTTACAAATTTAGATAAATAAATAAATAAAATAAATAAATAAATAAATAGAAATACTCAGCCGCCTTTCATTAAATTAATTAATCACCCGTAAAAAGTCTAAATAACAAATATGTACAACTGCCTATGCATCGGAAAGCTGCCAATCCAGTCACAGACCATAACACGAAAGCCATATATATATTACTTCTTCTATCAGCGGTCAGAATACTGTTTAAACTTTCGACATTGGAGTTTGTGATACCAGCGACTAGAGCCGCATTCGACAGAATCCAGAATAGCACGACACGTGTTCGGAAAGTTTTTCGGTAGTCTTCTTGTCGGGTACTTTCGTCGGGAATATCTTCTTGGGGTTCGACGACTTTTGCGAGTTCGGCGCATGCTTCTTCGTAGGCGGCGTTGATGTCCTTTTCTTCGGTTGGGAGTGCAATGTCAACATGGCTTTTGCCAGGATGTGAGGACACTGATCCGAGATCTTGTTTTACGGCGTTATCACCTTTTGTACCCCAACTAGTAAAAGAAGACGTTTTGTTAATTATAATTCATAATAACATCATCGTTATTAAGAATATACATACCTGACATCATGTACATTACAGAAAGCATACACATTCAAAATATTAATATAGAACGGCACCAAAAACAAATACTGAATAAGACTGGTAAACATATGCCACGGCTCGAAGAACAGGAAACTGGCAAAAAAGTATAGACCATAAGTGGATGCTAACGACAAGATAACATTCCGGAATGTTGGGTCGCCGAAAACAGCAGCTGCCGTCGAGACATTTGCACCGGTGAGTTGACCATCTGTGTTATCAATGGCGAATTGGATACCTTTAGCAGTGAGCCAACCGGCAGCGAATAACATATAACCCATAAGACCCGCAAAAAATGTAATCGAGGCGACGTACGCCCATTTTGAACTACGGTGGATAAGAGTTAAATAAGTCAAAGCTGGATTTCAATTGATGTTTGAATAAGAAGAAAGTAATAGATACCCTTGAGGTCGATTACCCATGGCCAAAATAAACTGGATTATAAGTAAGGTCAAATAAATATATCTTAAGATTTGAAAAATGACTTCTCCAGTATTTGGACTCCATAACCCTTTAGCCACTTGAGGTTCCGATAAAGAATTGCCCAAAATATAGAAAGTCAAATAAAAATTACCCTACGAAAAATCATTATTAATTTTCTATTACAAAAATTTAATATAAAAATTCGATTAAAAATGTAAAAAATTTACCAACGCAAGCCAAGAGAATGCTAAATTAAATGATTGATACGCCATTTCAATGTGCAATAAAACTTTTCTGACCATACTATGATCACTCCTCCAAATGGCAGAAGTATGAGCAATAGCATAAACACCAGCGAAAAATGAACCATTTAACCAACGTCTTCGCTGTGAAATTAATTCGGGAATTTGATCGGGAACATCAGTTTCAGCATACGATGATTTCACATAATGTAACACCCAAGCACAATTACGTTTTGCTACTAATTCAAAACAGAGAATACGATCTTCTGCAAGGTACATGTTAGCCGTGAAGATATCAGCGTCTGCACCATGCTGTGATTCACCCATGAAATAAGAGGCTAACGGGCCATTTCCGTTTTTATCATTCTGAAGAGCCTGATATCGATAAGCAGAGAAGGCACCGGGTAACACAGTGATGTAGCCGAAAACGGATTCGAGGGGTTTGTCGAGAATATTTGACATTTTGTATTCGAAATTTTGTGCAGCAACAATTGGATTTAATAGATTAACACCAGCGGTACCTTTCATTGCGACAATTTCACCACAAGCACCCGCTATATAAGAATTGAGATCAAAAGCTTTCCATAAATGGTAAATTGAGGTGCCACCAGGTTTTGTTCCGACATCGAGAAGAACACAGATATTTGGCTCGAGAACTGAACCAAAAGCATTAAAAAACCAACGATGTGAATTGATTTTCTTTGCGTTCTTTTCTTTGAGACAGAAAAGAATTTGAATTGGGACAATGCCACGATCAGCGCCTTTAAATTTCATATCTGGATCGATAGAAATCTGTGTTGTATATTCATAAATATGAGCAGTTACGTCTTTTTCATTGACTTTATTTTTCGCAATATCGTGCTGATATACTCCAATAGCGGCCAGGTAAGATAACGTACGTTGATTGATTTTTGTTCGACCATCAGATACTATACATACGGTCACTTTTTTCCATCCTTCTTTACCCCATACACGAGATCGATCACGAGAGCAAAGATGTGCTATATTCTTTACGACACCATGAAAAGTACGCGCAAATAAAATTTCGTCTTCCTGTTCATTTATTCGTAGGAATAATCAATGGGTGTTATGTGTACAGCATATATAAGAATCCTGTGTTACTACACGAAAATGATCGACATCAAATATATCATACTTACATTATACATAGTCAATACGATAAATAATTCTGTTTTTCTTTGATATTCTTGCTGACGTAAAGTGTATGAATCACGCTTAAAGTCATTTGGATCGCAAGTAGCGGCAGTATAACGCATATGAGTGAACTCTTTCTGATCCTTTCTCGGACATTGTTCCAATAATTTCGAGGGCACCGGACAGTCAAGCACCAAGTTTCCTTTAGATAGTTCAACGCGTCTTGTAGTTTTATAACGACGAGGCTGACGTGCTGGAGCCTGTCCGTAGTGAATTTGAGGCTGTTCTTGGAGTTTAACATTCTCCGACGACGGAGGAGTATTCTCTGCTGTTTCCGAGTGTGGAGTTGGTAAAAGTGGTTGTTGTTCTACAAAAGAGACAGACTGGACAACTGGTGGGTAGACGCCTTGTTGCGATGGTGGATATATTTGAGGTGATCCTGGCTGTTGCTGTTGTGGTGGATATCCTCCTTGTGGTGGACCACCACCTCCTTGATAATATGCCATTATTTTTGTCTTTTCTTTCTTTTTGTTTTTAAATTCGAAAAATTATATTTTCAAAAAAAAAGAGAAAAGAACTTAAAAAAGTTAGAAATTTAGTATTGTTCTGATTTATCATACGCCAAGGGGGCTGTGTTAGTATTGGTAGTGGTTGTGCTGGGATTAAGAGTAAAAGAAGGCTTTGACGAAAAAAAGGGGCTGCTTGTTTACTATCATGTTTTTGGCTTTTGCCACATTCACCATTATTTATTATGAAAATAAAAATTTGTTCTATTTGTTTTTGTTTAGCATTAGTGGTTAGATAATAATTCAAACATTTTTGGTCAAAATTCATTAAACTTATTTAGAAGTTCTATATTTATTGTGGCGAGTAAAGTGTGATGGACATCATTATCATTCGCCACAATATTCGTCCGATGTACTACGTATTTGTAAGCAAATGTTTGGTCTCATGAGCCCACACGGAATGAGTCCCAGAGGTTGTTAATTCTATCTTCTACTGAACTATCTTTCTCCTTGTTCTATGTAACAGTGCTAGTAGCGCGACTAGAGAATAAAAATCACTTTCAATGTATCTACAATTTTTTGCGTATCTAAAGAAACTATAGTCACCAATTAATCATCGGTTCCAATAGCTCATTTAATTCGCAATGCACACATTCTATATTATTAACATGTTAACAGCTCTTTTGCTACTCACCTTATAAGCGATCCACCCCGATTAAAATTCGTTAAAAAAGGCAATTGTGTATGAGAATGTATCAGACCAAGTAATCAACGGTGCCGACGTCGCATATTACGGACCAATCACTATTGACACACAAACTTTTAATGTACATTTCGATACATCATTTTCTGACCTTTGGGTTCCGGGTAAAGCTTGTATTTCGAATGAATGTAAAGGCAAAAACAAATATAAAAAGGCTTCAACATTCAAAAATATGCCGTAGGAGAGGCGCAGGGAATAACGGGATCATCGGATTTTACCATCGCGGGCCTTAAAGTGACAGGTCAAAAATTCGGAGTGGTCGATACACTTAACGACCCTAGTATGTTCAATAGCTCATTTGATGGTATGATGGGAATGGCATATGACAAATTAAGTTTCAATGGACAAACCACACCAATGATCTTACTTAAAAATCAAGGTTTAATTGATTTAGCGATATTCGCCTTCAAGCTTGGAAGAGACGCAGATAAAACGACAAGCGAATTAATAATCGGCGGGACGAATCTATCCTTGTTCACTGGTCCGAGGCAAGTGTGGTGAAAGGTAGCGTGGGAGAATGTAAAGGTTATTATCGTAAGTGGGAAATTTATCTCGATGATAGCCTGTCAATGTTAAATCAGGATTAGGCTTTCAAAACCGTACTGCAAATATTGATACCGGAACTGCATTTATATACGTTCCGCCACCCGATGCCAAAAAAATTTACACTTATTCCTGGTTCTAGGCTCGAGATCAAAGGTGATAATCACTATTACAATTTACCTTGCGATAGTCGACCTGTGGTTAGCCTGAGTGGAAAATATTGGAATATTACTACAAAGATCTGGTGATTCATCTAGACAATAGCACAAATTGCCGAGGAAGTATTGTAGGAGACGTCACAGTAAGTTACATATTATTGCAGATAAAACATCACGGAACTACTACATGTACTAGTATTACATTCATAATTACTTCAAAGATGCGAATCCAACTTGATTAGTATCTTGATCAAACACGCTATATACATTCTTTAGAAAGATATCACCAAGCAACCATTGTGTGGTATTGCGTGTGACCTTCTGTTTAGCGAAAATGAAAAATATTTGTATACATTACATTTACATTACTGTGACTTACACATCTGTTTATGCTAATTTAAGACAAAGAATAATGGCAGGTATTTCCTGCTTATATTTTTAATATAAATACTGTAATACCATAAGCCATCAACTTTTTAAAATTGTTATATAATAATAATTAAAAACTGCGGCAAATGATTAATCAGAAGCCAGGTAATATTTGCCGCAGCTGGATTCTTAAATTTTTTGAATTTTATGAAATTTGCCATTATTAGTATTACTTGCATTATTATATAATGTAAAATAACATGACTAATAGAATATCAATTTTTTTTGCCGTTCAAAAAAAAAGTTGATGGCTTATGGTGTCTCCGACTGTACTGATTATAATCGAATTACGGTAATAGAAAAATCTTTCAACATCTCATATTGTATCATGCTATTATCCCGAACTAAAAAAGTATGCGTGTAATTCACCAATCGGCAGAACAAACGAATGTATGCTCAAATTCTTTTATCATTATTATCAAAAAATAGTTGATATTATTATACCCTAGAAGTTAGGCTTATACGATGTACAATCATAATGTTTTTTATTTTCTTCAATCAATTCTTCAACAAAAGAGGATAAACTCTTTAGTACAGGAATTTCGGGTATTCAAAAATTTACCGAATCCGGTGCTTTAATATCCAATAAATGCTTGTAAAATCATGCTCTCATCAAACTCCTCCAATTAACTCGCAATATTTTCTCAATATCGATATACCTTTTGGATTCTTACAAAGATCATCTGCATCTATCACCAGGGGTGTCTGGTCTTTAAACTTAACATAGTCAAAAAAACATGGCAAGTTCTTTAATGCCTATCGATGAAGTTGTAAATTTTAAATCTGTAATTCGGTGGATTTTTTAGTATCTTCTTTGATTTATATCGTTGAAAATGTATTTGAAAGTTAGCTCGGTAAAAGGATTTTTATAGATTTAGATAAGAATGTAACGATAACGATAACGATGATTTGTCATTTTCTATCTGAGTGAATAAAAATTACATACCATTACAATTAACGTTAACGAAGATATTGATGTTAATAAAAATAAATAATTAGAAAAATAGAAGCTATCATGCAAAAATTCAAAATATCAAGAGATAGGATTGTCCAAAATCGTACAATAAAAATCATTAGTTTTCAATTTTTTAGCGTTAGCGTTAATAATAAAAACAATTTAAAATTTTTATTATCCTAATCGATTTTGAAATTGATAATTTCTAGTCTCTTTATGACATCACATATTCAAAAGTTTAAAGAAAAATTATTAATGCCTAAGAGATAAAAACATAATTACATATTATATTCATAAACTTTTTTAATTTACTTATTTTTTTTCCCGTTGTTATTAATATTGTTTTTAATTTTTTTGACTCATTTTTTTATGGTTTGGTTATCGTTATTATTTGAAAAGTCATAATTATTATTTTAGTGCATAATAATGTTCTTATCGTTATATTTATGGAGAATTACTGTTAATTATTAATTTTGCTTGCGTTATAAAATTTTCTTCGATAGCTTACCAAACTTCCTGAACTCTTTACTCCCATTCTTCAGAATTTGTGTAAAGTACAGATTTCTACAAGCACCATTTCCGTATCTGTTTTTGTTAATTCAATATTTTTTGAAGTCTTTCAAAGATTGCTTGTTCTGAACTTGTTAAATATCAGCATTTTTTATTGATTTTTGGTTGTTTTCTTTCTCTTTGATTTTCCACTTTTATTTTTATTTAAATTGTTGATAATTAGTTAATTTGTATACAATTATTATAGAAAATTTTTAGAATCTTTAATGAACTTTATTAATTATAAATTATTCAGTCTTTGTTTTTTTTATTAAATTAAAGCATGAAAATTTCTAGCAACAAGAAACTCTTCTTTATATATTTATAATTTTTTTATAATTTATATAATTAATAATTATTCTAATTCATATTATTAATTATAAATAATATTAATAATACAAAAAGAAATTGAATATTAAAAAATAAGTGAAAAATTATACAAATATAAGAAAAGAAAATACAAAAGAAAATTAATTGTAGTTTTAGTGATTAAAGATAAAAAAACATGTTACAAAAAAAGAAAATAATAGTACAAACTTGATTATGAGTAAAATTAACAAAAAAATTAATAGATAAAAAAAGTAATTATAATAAAAATAAAAAATAAAATATAAAAATAATTAGTTAAAATAATAAAATTAAAGATAAAAATAATCATATTAAAGTAATAAATAAGATAAATTAATAGCAAAAATATAAATTTTAGAATGAAAAATACAAAAATTAATAATTTATAAAACAAAAATAAAAACAAGGAGTATTATTACCATTTTGATTAACTTTTGAAATACTCAAAGATATTTATAAAATTTAAGAAGTATTTAAAGGAAAACTTCTAATATCTTAACGACAATTTAAAGTATTAATAATACTTTATGACTATTAAACTGAATGTAAATAAGTACTTAAAGTGCTAGTAACAAAATCACTTAAAGATTGATAACAGTTATATTCTTTAAATGCAATAATCTAAACTGCTAAAAAGAGTTCTCAAAATCTCAAAGTTAAAGTTATAGAAATTATAATATTCGTATTATTAGCAATACAAGATTGAAGATAAATAATGTATTATCAACAATATAATATTGAATATAAGTTTATGAGCAATATATTATCAGCAATACAATCTCAAAGACAGATTTATGAATTATAA